GTATGAACTTTCAGCGCGCCAAAGAACGCCGGTCGTGTAAGTTGCGCCTCGCGTCGAAGCTCACGTTTATTTAGCGTAGCGTCGCTGCGCCAGCGTGCCCAGTCATGCAACAGGAGAGACGCGCGCATTGCATTCCAATCTGACACTGCCAATCCCGGCTTTGGAGGCTGCATTTTCGATGGAGGCGGGAATCTTGTACGCCTGTGTGCTCAGATTTGGGTCATGTTACAGAACCCCAGGTGGTCAAAATTTCCGGAGTTCACCACTACGGCGTCTCTCATAATCATATGGTGGCTTTGGGACGTTAAACCCCACATATCAATCAATCAACACCAAATTAAGTATATGTGAAGTTAGCAAAACGGCCGTGAACACATCATGAAGGGCCAAATATACTCCAATGTAGCGCTGAAGCGCGCGCACGCTGGGCACATTTATGCTACGTTAGCGAAACGGGAGCTCTCTATTGTGTCACGACAGGCGCGACGAGCGTCAGTCGGCACGACCCGACGACAACCGGCGCGAAATGCGGCATGCGGCATTTCGCGCCGATGCGTTACCCAGACAATACTGCGTCTCTCTCATTTCGTGACAGAGGGACGCCGGACGCACTGAAACGCGCATGCGTCAAAGCAACGCAGCGTGGCGTGCGCGTGCGTGTATATGTCATGACCTGTGCCTGACGTGGCAACGCCGGCGTGACGCGACGAAATGAACGCCGGCGAGCACGCGCACCGCGTCAAGTCGAAATGTATTGGCGCTTGGACTGTGGCATGTAGCCATGTTCTCACATGACACGCGTATCATGATTATCATGTTTGCACCAGTCACATACCTTCGTCATCCATTGGCGTCACGTAATTCTAAATTTGGTACATGTGAAGCTAGCGAAACGGCAGCGAGCGCATCATGAGCGTGGCGTGCAGTCATGTTGTTACATGACACACATGTCATGCTTTTCATGTTAAGGTCTGTCGCTTGTGTTCGCCATGCAATCATGCCATATCATACCAGTTTTGCAACATGCCATGTGAACGAAACCACCGCATGAGCTGTAGGACCATTAAATAAAAAGCACGACGTTCATGACATCCCTGTCATGATTTTGCCCCGCCGCGGTGGTCTAGTGGCTAAGGTACTCGGCTGCTGACCCGCAGGTCGCGGGTTCAAATCCCGGCTGCGGCGGCTTCATTTCCGATGGAGGCGGAAATGTTGTAGGCCCGTGTGCTCAGATTTGGGTGCACGGTAAAGAACCCCAGGTGGTCAAAATTTCCGGAGTCCTCCACTACGGCGTCTCTCATAATCATATAGTAGTTTTGGGACGTTCAACCCCACAAATCAATCAAATCCCTGTCATGATTTTCATGTTATAACTAGTTAAATATGTTCTTCATACAGTCACGTTATACCATACCAAGTTTGGTAACGATACCATTATTGAAACGGCCAGCAGAGCTAAAAGTTGTAGGTGGCTAGATAGACAGATAGATAGATAGATAGATAGCTAGCTAGCTAGCTAGATAGATAGATAGATAGATAGATAGATAGATAGATAGATAGATAGATAGATAGATAGATAGATAGTCAGACAGACAGATAGATAGATAGATAGATAGATAGATAGATAGATAGATAGATAGATAGATAGATAGATAGATTACCTTACAAAACTTTCTACCGTACAGGTGGTTTAAACCCTGACATTTTAATCTGCAGGCTAACGTCAAACGCATAGCGGTGACACCACCTCTGATCACGATGGCTTGTTAATTCAGTTAGTTTCGACCACGGAGGAAGGAATTACTTCCATCGCTTCGACGCAAAATGCCATTGTTAAAACGAAAAAAAAACTTCTGTTTCATGAAAACAATCTACAGTTTTTTGTGGACTTCTAGTTAATTAAAAACGCACTGTACGTTCAAGTAATGCAGAGCGTTGCTGTGGTGGATGGAAAAGTATAAGGTTCACTGACCACTCTCAAAGCCTGTCGTCTGCTAGAAAAGACAAAAACAAATGTACTGAGGTTCTATTTCACTTACATCTTACAATTACTCTGCTATTCTAAATAATTTTTAAGAGGCTGCGGGCACTGAGATCGGTGGCTGCGTGACTTTTTTTTCAAATTTTGTCTACGATCCAAAGCCATCTACAGCCAATGTCAAATGGTATTTACTTTTTGTTCTTTGTGAGCATCTCGTTTGCGCTTGTTCCGTCTTCAAAACATTCACGGCGAGAACATTCACGGCGAGAACTCAATTCCAGTCTGTACAATTCCTGCACTGGTTTTCTGAAAATCTTCCCGTCTTGACCTTTCACTCGACAAGCTCGTATTATTCCATCTTGTCCAGGGTAAACGTCTGTGATACGCCCAAGGGGCCAAACTCCTCTGGAAATACCAGACTCTTTGATTATCACCACGTCATTTACACGGAGGCAGTTGCTGGGATGAGCTGGGTGTAGGTGAAGTGCCCGTAGTTCTAACAAATACTCTTTTTCCATCGCATCCACATATGATCCATCATCTTCTGTCGGTACCTCAACTTTTTGCTGATGTCTCTTCGACCAGCTTGTGCACTGATGACATCGTAGTCATTGTTGCTCTGATCCGGAGGCGCTAACAATGAACGTACAAGAAAATGCGCTGGACATATCGGAGAGGGCTCTTTGACGTCCGTATACGTGTAGGTGAGCGGTCTTGAATTGACAACTCCTTCTACCTCTAGTAGCATCGTTTCAGTTTGTTCGCTGTTGAGCTTGCTTTTTCCCATCATCTTGCGCAACGATGACTTGACAGTCCGAACAAGCCTCACCCACCAACCGCCCCACCAAGGTGCACCTGGCACAATATACTTCCACTCTATGCGGTAGTTAAGCAGAAAAGATGCGAATGGAGAGCTCTTCATGACACTCCAGATGTTCCTGAGGTCCCATGACGCTCTCTTGAAGGCGAGAGCGTTATCTGAGTACATTGTTGCGGGTACTCCTCTGCGAGCAAGAAACCTCCGGAACGCTAGCAAGAAGACGCTGGTCGAGATCGCACTCGTCAGTTCAAGGTGTACTGCTCTAGTCGTCGCACAGGTGAACAGCAAAATATAAGCTTTTGTTGTGACACCATGTAGCTCATGTTGCTTTATATATAGTGGACCTGCAAAGTCCACTCCTACTACATCAAATGGCCGTTACGATAGAAGACGGTCTTCAGGCATCGGCGCATATTATACGTTCCCAGGTTTCACATTGTACCTTTGGCAGAGAAAGCATTTGTTGATGATTCGCTTGACTTCTTGTCGAGCGCGGATGATCCAATGCCGCTGTCGTATTTGCATCATAGTGTATGGCACACCACTATGCATAGCTCCGCAGTGAGCCTTAATCACTACCAGAGACGTGAAAGGATGTCTCTGTGGCAGTATGACCGGATGTTTTTCGTCAATGTGGCGTCCATTCTCTCGAGTCGTCTGCCAAGCCGAAGCTGTCTGTTTTGGTCCAAGAAAGGGTGAAGATCGATCAGCCTAGACTGTTTGGGGAGTGGGTGTCCAAGCTGCAGTTGTTCGACGTCGTTCGCGAATACTTCCAGCTGAACATATCGGACCCAAAACATTTCAGACTTGCTTAGCTCCCGTGCCGAAATCGCTTCGCTGAGTGAAGTTTGAAGTCCACGGCATCGATCCACAAAGCGAAAGACCCAGGCGGTGACGCGCAAGAGCTTCTGCAGGTCGCAATGCTTCCTTATATCGATCACCGAATGTGAGTTCGTAGATGACGCTTGAAGAAAAATATGTTGCGTCTCAATCTCTGCCTCTTCGTTTATCGGTTTGTACTGGTTAGGTTATGAAGGCCAGCTTGATTTTGGCTGGTACAACCATTCAGGTCCATGCCACCAATAGCGACATGCACGTAGAGTCCTTAACGTTATGCCCATAGTCAGTACATCCGCCGGGTTGTCTTCTTCCGGGCAGTAGCGCCATAACGCTTTTTCAGTAATTTGCGTTATTTCAAACACTCTGTTCTTTACAAATTGACTCAACTTGCTATAGTTTCGGCGGATCCAGCTCAGTGTAATCATGGAGTCAGTCCACATGACACAGTTGAAATGCTTGAAATCCCACGAGAAGCAAATGTATTTTAGCAATCTGGCTCCCACAACCGCGGCTATAAGCTCGAGCTTTGGAAGCGTTAATGTCTTAATAGGTGCCACTCTTGACTTCGCTACAATGAGAGAGGTAGCGGAGTTTCCACCTTCATCAAATGCTCTCAAATAGGCACATGCTCCATAAGCCTCCAGGCTGGCGTCGACGAATATATGCAGTTCAGCCTCTTTAAGTGCTCCATGCAGTCCGTCTCTCACACAACGCGGAATCCTTATGTGGCCGAGCTGTATTACATCGGCACACCAGGCTGCCCGCTGCGTCTTGATCTCCGCGGGCAATTCTTTATCCCAGGAATGGCCTAAAACCCAAAGGCGTTGAAACAAAAGCTTCACAGTGATGGTGAATGGCGATAGAATGCCAAGCGGGTCACAAATTCGAGAAGGAACCTTCAGTAGGATACGTTTCGTGTCGAGCTGGCCAGCCACTAAATACTGGGCCACCGACTTGGAAGAAAATTTGAAGTAATCATTTCCTATATCCCATTGCATTCTAAAGACCACAGCTGCTTCTCCGGATGCTCCTTCTACTTGCTCCTCCTGGTTGTCAAAAATGTTCTGCAGCTGATGGTCATTGGTCTTCCACTTTCTGAGCCTCATGCCAGCATCTTTCATAATTGCTTTCGACTGCTCATAGATTCGCCAACCTTCATGGAATGTCTTCGCACCCACCAATAAATCGTCCGCATAAAATGCCTTCTTTAATGTAGAAGCGAGCTCTTTGTCTTCACATGCGTTATCTAAGTGGTAGTGAATAGTTGCCATGAGCAAGAAAGGGCTTGACGTTGATCCAAACGGTACCCGTGTCATGCGCCATTCGACGAGCTTACGTTGTTGGCTTACGGAAATAGAGTCAAACCAGAATAACCGGAATGCACATCTCAATTTGTAAAAATGCCTTTTCGATGTCGGAAGTGATGGCGACAGGGTACCACCGAAAGCGAAGAAGGACTTGCAGCAATTCTGGATTGAGATTCAATCCTTTATCCAAGCAGTCGTTAAGGGATGGTACACCTTGGGTGTGTGACGATGCGTCGAACACTACACGCAGCTTGGTAGTTAACGATTCCTCTCTTATTACTTCCCGATTTGGCATATAATATATGGAGTGATCTCGATGCTGAGGAGTATCCTTAGGCACCACTTCCGCGTGACCCATCTCCAGATATTGCCGGATTACTCTGTCATATCGCTGCAACATTCCTTCCATCGTTGATCGCCTCCGTGTTAATCTTTGTAGACGTGATAGCGCGATTTCCCGATTGTTCCCTAGGAGCGGTTTCTTATCTTCCTTCCAAGGCCACGCCACTGTGTATCTGTCGCTTTTATTGCTAATGGTTTTATGTAATTGTGCAACGGACTCATGGGAAGAAGGTGCCGTTGAATCTTCGATGCCCATTGCTTCTAGTTGCCAAAAAGATTGCAAGATCTGCGACGCTGATTCGTCATCAACAAATGCTTGTACTTTCAGAATGCAGACCATTAGGCTAGAGCTGCAGTCAAGAAAGGCTTTTTGGTGACTGGGTCCTTGTAGCGTCCATCCGAAAGCTGTATCTATTGCTAGCAGTCCTGGAACTTCTGCACTTTTGACGATGCGTCCCGACACGATTTGCCAGGGGTGGTCAGCACCGATCAACAAGCTGAGGCTATTTTCCGTTTCCGCATCAAACTTCTTTTCGTCCGCAATGACCTTGCGTTCAAGACACAGGTTCTGAACGAAATGGCTGTCAGCCTTCGGGAAAGCAATATCGTGGCAGATAACTGGAACAACGATTTTGTGCACCGTGCAGGTTTCAGAACCGTGTTGGCTACGCAGAGGAACTTCCACCACTTGAAGTCTTTCCACAGTACTTGGTGACAAACAGCCAAACGTATTCAGCGCAATTTGAGTTTCTCCCAGCACCTGTAGATGGAATGTCTTGGCGAAATCTTCCGTGACGAAGGATCGCTGGCTCCCTCCGTCGAGAACCCCTCGGACATACTTTGTTTTGCCATTTTTGTTGACAAAGGCGCGAAACGTTTGTAGATATACTTCACTGTGATTTGTTGCGCCCCCGCTCAGTGAAGCCTTCTCACACAGCATAACTGATTTTGGCGACACCATTCCTATTGTGTGGCCGGAGGAGTCAACTGGACGAGAAGGTGTCGCTGTTTGGTTGGATGTATAGTGCGGGTCGCACATACTTGATGCGTGCCTCCCGTGGCAACTCGAGCAGGTAAGTTTGACGCGGCCAGAACGTGCCTGATGTCCTCGGGACGTGTATCGATAGCAGCGGTGGTCTTTCGCAAGCATTCCTTTCTTCAAATCTATGGCAAGGTTCACGTCACAAGCGCGGGTGCCATGTTTCTTAGACTTGCAGAAAAAACACTCACCCCAGCTGTTCGATGTGCTGTGTAGTACGGAAGCCGTGCTAGTGCTGCCGCTTCGAGTCCTCTGTGCACGGTCATCCAGCAGTCGGTCATTAAAGGGCTTGCACTGCTCCCGACTTTCCAGCTCTATACGTGTATAGGTGAGCAGCTCCTTTAACTCCGCATCAGATGTAGCAGCTGCCACGCTTGGCTCAAAGTCATTGGCAGCAGACCCGTTTTCTCTTAGCGCCTGACTGCGCTTTGCACGTGTGTAGGCCAAAATGATGTCGTACGGTAGGGCTTTCTGTAAAATGTCACTCAGCATAGCGGAAAAGCTAAGCGTAGGAACATTAGTGCAGTAAGACAACGGATATTCAGCTGCACAGCATAGTAAAGTCGCCTAAGGCCGCGGACGTCGCTTCCCGACTTGTTGTGAGGTAGATTTCGAAGCGTTCCTTCAATAACTCGATGGTGTCTGCGTAACAGGCTTCGGAAGTCGGAAAACCACATATCGCAGCTGCCGCTTCACCAGCAAGATAATGACGTAGACAGAAGAACTTCGTCGTCGTTGACAAAGCGTTGTTCAGGTGGACAGTTTGCTCAAACTGCTCCCAGAAAGCCGACCATTCATGTATGTCACCTCTAAATGTTGGCATGTCAAGGTTCAGCAGCCTTGGGCCAATTGCGGTTGGCACGTCAGATGGTGACGTGTTTGCGTTCTGAGGAGCAGCCGCTGCTGTACTGTCTCCATGTCGCAAACCGTCTATCTTGAAGCGAATCTCAGCGAGCATGCGCACAGCTTCGTCCTTATACTCTGCTGCCGCGAAATACTCAGCTTCGAGCTCCTCGTCTGCTACGTGCTCCTCGAGCGCATCATTGATCTTCGAAAGCTCGTTGTTGCTCGCTGAAAATGGTCATAAATACCTGTGAGTTTGGGCTTGTCCGCGGTAGGGTCACTTAGCAGTGACCTTACTTCTTGCAGGAGCTTGGTGTTCTGGGCTCGTCGAGCGGAGCGCTTGGTCTTGAGGCGATCCATCGGATCCGGTGTTGGAGTCTAGTCCGGTCTACGCCGATCAGGAACGATTCGTTGCAGTCCTCGCCGCCCGCAAAACGACGCGGTCGAGTAGAAGGTCCCCTCGAGTCGTGCGATGAAGGAGACGTGTCCGCACGAGGGGTTTCGGCGCCACGATGTAAAGCAAAACTACCGATCGGCGAAGAAACCAGACCGAACGCCGTTTCTCATTTTCTACTTCTTCTTCTTCCTTGCAGTACTAGTCTACACACGTTTATTCCTTTTCTTTTCCAACAGATGGTTTTCATTTTAATATTTTTTTTCTTATCAAACATGAAAACAACACCCCCCACGGTGGTATAGTTGTCATGGTGCTCGCCTGCTGGCCCTCAAGGGGGGGGGGGGGAGAGGGTTCCAAACCTGGTTGCAGTGACCGCAATGTCGATGGAGGCGAGAATGCTTGACCCCCATGTATTTCGATTTCGTTGAACATTAAAAGACAAGATATGGGCGAAGAAGTTTCGCGAGCTATTCATTAGGTCGTCTCTTATATGATGGTTTTGGGAAGTTAAATACAGATAATATTACAGCATCAACTTAACAACGTGACCCAGCTCCTACATTGACGTTGACTCCTTGCTCCTACAATGACGGGAATTAACCCGGTCCTGTGCTTTCCATTGCCGCGTTATACCTGCGTACATTTTATTCTTGTGGCGTCTTTATCCTCATCATCGTCGCTTTTGGTCAACATATTCTGGCGCATGCCGCGCTACTTGCAACACACATTGAGAGTCTGAAAATTCGGGGACAAGGCAGTGGGTCGCCAAGCTGCATTGCACAGGTTGCTCTGGCGTTCGGTGGATCAGCAGAGTTTGAGAATAGAGTTAAACTCAGGCTGCATGGGCACAACGCCATAACGCGCACAGTGCCATACGTGGTGAAATAAAATTTATACGAGGTGCTAGCCATACAGTACCGTGGTTTGCATTGCTTCTGTTTCATCTCGCTGGTGACTTGAGACGTCTTGCCATGGTAATTTTAGGCCTTGGGTCAACACGAACGCAAAAACCCAAGATGAACTTGCGTTCTGCGCATGCGCCTTGGCAAGTCGCAATATTCTTGAGCCCCCAAGTTCTTGAGGTCCTAACATTCAGATGCTTTAATAATTCCTGATTTTTACCATCCTAAGGCCGACATGTGTTTTTCTGGCATGTCGTAGTGCAGGGTCCGAAAACTTTAGGTAGTTCGGGCTCTTTGACGGGTACCTAAATTTACGATGTTCAATCATTACCACATCTATTGAAAATATAGCCGCAGTGGCAGAGATTTATTCCTGCGACAACCTGGTAGGTAGACGAGTACTGTAACGCCTAGACTACTATGCAGGCAGAGCCCCATTTACGGAAATGCCATAAGTCGAAAACCGACAAATTATATGCGGCCGCATATAGGTATATATGTCTGCATAAGTGGTTTTCCTTTACGATACTTTGATGTATATCTGGAGGGGTCTGCTGAAATATGGGGTTACAAATTACACACTCACGTATAGCAGTTGATCAACACCTGAACCCTATTGCAGTTGCTTCATTGTGGCTGAATAATTTCGGCCATACTAGAATATTCTGAGCCATTCAATGTAATATCAAATGTTTTTCATTTCTAATAATAATAATATAACTTTTACTATTATTACTATATATATTATTATGAATAATAAATCTCACTAAATGTGCAACAAGTAATTTCTATACTCTGCCAATACTGGGTCGTTAAGTAAGGTTTATGCTATCAGTGATCTCGGTCTTCTTTTTGATTGGTTGCTAACAAAGCATGCTCAATTTTTAATGCTCGCAATAAAACTGCTGCCATGCGCGGCCTTCGTTCTCTCTGTGTTGGCAGAATATCTCTCGAGAATTCAGTTCTCGTGGAGTCCTCCACAAATTGCACACAGCGATACGTCTTGCTCAACTTGAGCATAAATGCATATGTGATCTGCAATTGCCTTCCTAAATCCAGCAGTAACACCACTGAGCGAGCTCGAAAAAACTCGTAAAAATGTACCACCATTGTTTCGCTAAAATTGCAGTGGTTACTGTTCCAAGCGGCTAAAAATTACACTTTCCATCACCTTACTGCCAACTAAATCACGCTGAGCTGTTATTTCTTTACAACCTAGTTCAAGGTAAGATATTCTGCCCTTCCCACTTCCTGACAGTTCAGGGTACAATATCCTCTCCTTCTCTGATGTAATGTTTTCGAATTCCGCTTAAGTTATCCAGAAAGAATTGACTGTCGTATGTAGCTGCCTGCTTTTTATGGTAAGTTGTTACTTGAACAAAATTTTATTGTGCAATACTACAGTGTCATTGAGAAACTTGAAAGTGTCTTGTCTCCGTGACAATTTTCACTTGGCTGCATTCCATGTAAAAAAAGGTAGCGTAGTTTAAACGAGGAATTATCAAATGTTTTCGCACTTGCTATCCACTGACTACGTAGCCTGAAGGAAATTTACGCACCGTAACGTGTGTGCCTTTGGTAGTGGTTGGCTGGCTTTATACCGAAAGTCACGTTGGTAATCAGGCGTTGTGATGCCCGATGGCAATCTACGCTTGTACCATGCAATATTACTATGGTATTACATGTTCGGTGAAACCTGTGTACAGAATTCGTGTCTTTCTTAAGCATGACAGTTATTTTTTTTTCAATTTCCAACACTAGAAAGTTACTCCTACTTTATTTCAAAACATAGGCCCGTGTGCTCAGATTTGAGCGCATGTTAAAGAACCCCAGGTAGTCGAAATTTCCGGAGCCCTCAACTACAGCGTCTCTCATATTCATATGGTGGTTTGGGACGTTAAACCCTACATATCAATCAATCAATTTATTTCTAAGCAGACGCGTGGCCGTGTTGTAGAACAATTGCTGACTACGCAAATGGCCTGGTTTTCATCCTCACTCGGACCCGAAATGTCTTTTTTTCCGCTTTTCTCAATTTTCAGTTATCGATAGGATGATTTTTCGCTCAAAACCACCGACCCCCAATCCAGAGTTTCTGCGGAACGAGCTTTTTAACGCTGTCGCGTTAATATTGCATTAATGGTAGAACGGAAGGTGGGGTACGTTTTCAAAAGACAATTTTTAGTGTCCAGTTGGCAAGAAATATCGCTAATAGCCACCGTTTCTACGCGCACAGAGATTTATAGACACCAGTCTTAGCAGTCACGTTATAGGTCATTCCTAGTCACAATACTTGCGCATGACAAGCTTGCATACCGATAGTTTTTGATTGAACTCCATAAAATTTGAGTATCAAGTCATTTAAATAATTCAATCCGCACGCAGTTCATACAGTCAACACGAAGTCATAATTCTGTTTGTCTCACTATGAGCGCTCAATCAACACGCCAAAAATGATTTAAATAAAACACTGTGGACAATCTGTTTACGAACTCAATTGAAATTCTGTATATGCAAACAATAAATTTAAACACAATGTATATCTTCAGGAAGAGTGAAACAACAGTGACATGTGTCCACCGGAAATATTAAATAAGCTTCCAAATTACACTTTTAACAGGTATGTGTTGATAATAACTTGAGATTATTGAGGGAAACCTGAACAATATTGTGTTTTTTAGATGATGGTGACTGCAGACCTTTTAATAAACAGCAATATTTCTAGTTGGGAAATGAATTCTGAAGCTATACTTCATTTCGGCGACATAAGCTGAATTCATATAAACGAATCATGTGAATGCCTATATAAAAAGTTATCTATATAAATTCATGTAAAACCTTATAAAAAGGCTTAATATAAAGCCATATATAGGTAGCTGCAATGCATTCGATATATATATATATAAATATATATATATATACATATGTATATATATATATATATATATATATATATATATATATTGCAACTTCCATGTACGATTAAGAGAAGGATTAGATATACTGTGCTGTGTATGCCACCTATATAGCGACATCAGAAATCGGGCATATCGGGTTATGTAAGTCCCATATATCAGGAATTTTTATAAAGCCTCATATGCCCAATTCTTGAAGTCGCCTAACATGAGAAAATAATTAGGTTCACATACTCGTAAGTGCCGTTTCAGAGGTTGGAATTCGTACAGTGACAATCTTCTGTACTTATAAGTTGTCTGTTATTCGTCTCGTGTTTAAAGAAAGTTGTGTAACCCTATAAAGCAGGTGATATTGTGTAAAGTCAGCAGTAATGTAGCTACTCCAAGAACCAGTACAATTTAAGGTGTGACAGTTCTTAGTTTTTGGTCTTGTGTTGAACTAGCTCAACTGCAGTCACACCAGTGCCAGAGTTGAGCTACTACGTGTCACTCTGATAGAGTATACCCACTTTAAAATGGCGTTGCATAACTAGCCACCAAATAGCTACTCTAGCTGACGACAAAATCGATTCCATGGCTTCACCGTCCTCTTTTTTTTTTTTCGAATGAACATGTGGGTAAAGCCAAACTCGCATCATAGCGTAAATAATTTCAGGAGTTTTGTCTGAACGGAACACACGTGATCAACATCACGCCTTCACGGGTTGCCGCCTCATTGTAATGTGTGCATATCAGCGAATGAAGCGTCTATTTAGTGTGAACCTAAAACGGTTCGCTTCACATCAGTCTACGACTATACCAAGGAAGCGCTAGCGACCCTTCGGCGTGCTTCTCGATCAACACTATATACTCGCTTTCATCTACAGCAGCTGCACCAGACAGTTTGTTTAAAATATCCGGTATGGCCTCAACTTGCTTAAGAAAAAAAATGCCGCCATATCCACGAAGTGAATGATGATGAGTGGGCGAAGCTCCGGAGGTAAACCTGGTAAACCATGAATCCTCCGTACATTTTGCCCACTCGATTTTATTGCAACGCTCCCCCTAGCGTACGTCGCCGCACTATATCGAACGATGACACGCGCCATATGTGGCATCATTCCTATTTTATAACACCTCGCATCTTTCATAATCAACTACACGTACCGCCGTCTAGTTTATAACATCTTGCATCTTTTGGACGGACGGACGGACGGACGGACGGACGGATGGATGGACGGATGGATGGACGGACGGACGGATGGACGGATGGATGGATGGACGGACGGACGGACAGATGGATGGATGGATGGATGGATGGATGGATGGATGGATGGATGGATGGATGGATGGATGGATGGATGGATGGATGGACGGACGGATGGACGGATGGACGGATGGATATGGCTGTGCCCTTTAGATCGGGCGGTGGCTAGCGTAATACTTAGAACTGAACGAGAGGTGGCTACATACAGGGGACGCACAGCCCACGCCTTAAGGAGCTTCGCTCCTAAAATTATACTACTCCATGCCACACTCTTTCTACTACTCCATGCCACACTCTTTCTTTAGAGCACATTGTCGTGCTTTAAATCGTGACGCAACTTATGGTAGAGCTCAATCCGGTTTTTGTGACCCCCGTTTCTGCGCATGGAAAACAGGGGCCCAAGGACTGCGAGAACATGCTCACGCACTAGTGCGTTTGGCTCTGCGTGAGGGGCTCGGTGAGATGCTGCGACATCACCTCCTTACAATCTCTTAGCAATTATGTGAAATCATTGGTGAAGCAGGTTCTGCAGACGCCCGATGAACTACACAATGCATCTTAGACAGAACGGGCTGGTGCGCACTAGCACGTTCAAGCCTGCCTAAGTGGCTGGGTAAGAAACTTTGGTTTTTCCCGTTACACTCTCGTAGCAATCACGTGATGGCGTCGGGAAATGAGATCCTGCAGCAACAAACGCATGTGCTCCCCGCATGCCGAGATGCAACAAGAGTGCTGGACAACTAACATATTATATATATATATATATATATATATATATATATATATATATATATATATATATATATATATATATATATATATATATATATATATATATATATATATATATATATCACAAATCTAGTTCAAATTCATTCTTGGAGTTTCGGAACAAAAACATCTTAGCTTTCAATAATATGAGAACTTCGTCTGTCCCTAAACGTCATAGTGACAAATGCGCTTAGGTTAGAGTTTGGTAACTCCTTAATTCTCTGAGCTGAATTTTTCTGCTTTGGACAATACGTCTCAAAAGCAACCATAGTTTTCTCTAATACATTCAACCACAGTTTTTTATAAACTATCGCAAAACAATCACTAATCATTACTGATAATCAGTAACTTATAAACGTTCATTTTTTTGTTTTATATTTCGAAAAAAATTACATCAGTCCGCTGCTTACCCTCGAGATGCCTCGATGTCGTTCCTGTTTCACCTTACAGCCAATGCACGTTTCTTCATTCGATTCGTTATCAGGGCCTCTCATTTATATGCTCGTAAGCACAGCGAGCGCACAGGTGACATTGATCTAGCCATCTATAATCCTGTGAGATCGATGATGTATGATCCTGTAAGATTTTTTTCAGTTCTTGCTGTGCTTACTGAAACGTCACTATTTTACATCTGTGATGGTGTACCATGGCTGATATCCCCGTGGAGCAGATTACCCTTTCTAGCTAGTCATTTATTAGAAAACGACTAATAAAAGAAGCCACGCTTAGCGCAACTCATTGTAACTGATGAATTAGGTAGCAAGATAATGAAAAAATGCACACAGCGAGTGCCTATTTAAGGTGTGTCATTCTGAGAGTTTGTCAAACGGATTTTTTTTAATCTTTGCCGCATTATCGTGAACAATGAATGACGGAATAAGACATAAGTAAAGATCATTTACTTCAACAACTTGGGAGACTGGGTAATCTGATGATTCATATCGTAAGCTGATATTGCGGAAACCGGCACGGGATTTTAAAAATCGAGACAGCTATGTTTTAGAGGTGCCAAGAGTAAAGTAAGCGTGGAGGTTGACAACTTTCTTGAGGTTCTCGTTGGTGTTACACTTTTTAAGTCTCAATTTCTTTCTTTTTGTCTTTGAAAGTGCTCCTGCTTTTTTTCTCTGTACTTTTAATTTTCTTTTTGTGGTCCTTTTTGTGTTTTCTATTTCTCAGCTATATGTTTCCTAATCTTTAAACATAGTTTACTTTCACGTCTTTTATTAGCTATAGTAGTATTGCTTACTCGTAATACATTCATTGGTGAGCTCAAACAGCAACAGGTAGAGGATTTATCTTTTGCGTGGCGGTTCGCTCAGTATGCTACAGCTCACCATTTTATGTGTAGGTTTATCTGCACTTTGTCAAACAACAACGGTAGCATACAATCCCTGCAGGTGACACCCAGGCACCATGAAGTGATACACACTTAAACTTATACACTCTTAATAAGCGCCGCTCGGTAGGAACTGCTACTAAATTGTGAGAAATTTGTCGAGCAGGGATCATAGCATTTAAAGTGACTATGTGATTCTTTTGAATTTCCACTAAGATTGCCTACATCATCATTAGCAATTACAAATATTTTCATGGAATCGCAACACAAAAAATATCTGCTCGAATGTAGTGTGTTTTGAAAATGACAGTTTCCTTCTTAAAATTTTGCGGATGAACCCGGTTCTACCAACGTTGCAATGAGCTTACAGAGCAAATAAAAAACAATGAAGTCCTTTCCAGTCCAAATGCAGTTCTCAAAACAAGACCTTGTAGCTTTACAGACGAGCTGGTGCTATAAAATCAATGGGTCGTATTTAATGTTGCTGAAGAAAAATTACAGCCAGGCCACTCGCAGTTTCTTCATCCAGTTTATGATGACACTTTTTGTAAATATTTTGGCCTTCTTATCAATAGTTTATTGGTCGTTTTTTTTTTGTTTCCTGTACCAAATCATTCTCACAGGATTAGAAAACACGAACACAAGAAGGAAATAAAAACACCACAAAAGCCGACTCACAACTGAAAGTGCGCCCCTAGGAGATAAAAAAGGCCTGAAAAGTGATTTGGGCATGTCCTTGCGATACAGAAAATTTTAATCTGGAACGCGTAGAGGTCTACGTGAACGATAAACGATAAGGCAACAGAGTTCATCCTTACGCAAGTAACTGACAGTTGCTTCACGCATATGTGCTGCCAAAATTATGGGTATCTTATTTCTTAATGATCAGATGCATTTCTTCATTTTTATGCCAGCACAAAACTACGTGTGAATAAAATTGAAGACTCCAGCGAAAACCTTTAAAGTTTTTTTTCTACACTCTACCACAGTGCTGAAGTTTGAAGTTAGCATAGTTAGGAACTTCATTTCTGTCACCAGCCACAGCGCAGTGAGCAACGTCAACAATCACATATTGAAAACCAAAAAAACAGCAACAGTACAGATGTAGACGAAATTCAAATAGATCGCGTAAAATATGCTGCAGGCATAACCGCATCGGTTCTTGAAGATATATTACCTGCTGAGCAATGTAAACATTTCGAGTGAAAGCATAAATAGCCAAGGTAGAAGGACTTTCAAAGGAGAATTTACTACAATCATTACCATTTCATCTATGCGACCCATATCTTTACAATTTGGCCGAACCCACGTACCTTGGGAGTCAACGGTACGCGAAGCATGCGGATACAAGCTGAACGTGTTTATTTTTTATTTAGCGATACTTTAAAACGGGGTGTACAATATATGTACAAATTCGCTCACACACACACACCAACACGTACAATAAACAGCTGGATATGTTTATTATTTGCATTTACTTCCACTCGCGAAACGATGCCAACAGCAACATAGAAATCAGAAACACCAGACGCAGTAAGCGGATTGAAGCGCAGGTGTTTTGTGCTACGGCTCTCGAAGATGGTAACTCTCAACACTGCTACGCAAATTCATCTCAGCGGATGACGCCTACCTAACGATTGACGTTAGGTAGGCGTCTATCTTAAGAGTACATATTTAATGTTTATAGAATTTCATAGGCAGTACAGTGCCAGAATAGATGCTGAGCGAGCATTATGGTCTATTTGTAGAGTATTTCCGAGACCTCGCGTGGTTCTGTGGTAGAATAGTTGATCGCCACACAAAATGCTGTGGTTCAATTTCCACTGTGACACGGAGAATTGCGTTCGTCCCGTAAACGCTGCCTATGTCAGCTTTTTCTTGAGTGCCAACCACTGGCACGCGTAAGCTCGCGTCTACGCGTCAAAAACGTCCAATGCGCCTCTCGGCTTCGGCGTCGGAAGGGCATACGCGAGGAGGCACGAGGGATCAAGCCAGGCTTGCTATTTCTGCAACGCGTACATCACGTCACCACGCATACAGCGGCGCCAACCAACCAGAGGCCGCGATGCCTCCGAATACTGTGCCTGATGGCCGCCGCTTCGAAGGTACAGCGGAGTGCTGGAAGCAAGCACGGAAACAACTCCAAACGTTGCTGAGTGACCGATTCGTATTCTAGAACGACAGCGACACGACGAACGACTGCGAGTGCTACCAGCGTGACGCCGTTATGTGCTGAGTTCGAGCGACGCCGACAAATCCAGCGAGTGCCGGCCGGCTGTGCTTGCGCCGGTCCCGAGTGCGATCGTCAGCCGAGCGAAAACATAGTACATGCTGCTGGAACATGTCGGTGTTCTTGTGCTTTGATCTGTGATTTTCTGGGCTAAAAACGAGTGAAAACACACTTCGAAGGTTCGAAGCTTTGAGCGTGAGCCCTGGCCTACCGCAGAGGATATTCAGAGTGGTGTCATCTGCATCCAGCGTAGGCACCTACCGTCGAGTTCGTATGAACCAGCTTATGTGAGTAACATCGGCTAAAAAATTGATGGTAGTTTCTGCTGCAACATAGATACTATATACGACACTGGAAACATCGCGTAGTGCATACGGAGTTTTTATCTGCACTGTGTTTGTTTGCAACACCGATATTCATCACGGCAGCGAACCTCGCACTAGCTAACACATTTCGGAGATGGGAAAGCGTACGTACTTATATGAGTGTATTGGTGAATTGTACGACGCTGAAACATTCGTTGGCTTCGGTGCAAACCATTTTCGTGTGTTGCCAAGCTAATAACAAGCGTGTGCTGGTTAGTAGCAGTGTGATGTGGCTTCGTGTCGGGTACCACCGATGCTGACACATTCAGCTGTCAGTGGTCTTATTTCCATTGACGTACAAGATAGAAACTCGAACGTGCATTGCTGTGTTGATCTAAAAAGAAAGTTGCAAGATTAAGTGCGTCTGGTGTTACCCGCTCTTTCACTTCTCAATTTTTCTGCTTCTCTGCTACGATCAGCAGTACATACGGTGTTTTGAAGCGCTCTAACTCACACACTCTTAAGTCCTAGTTCATTCTGATACTCATAACTATAGGCATACAATGGCGCTTCTCCGTCGTTTTACAGTTCACTATATTATAACACGCGTTTTGTTTACAGCTGGACAGATTACTGAAAACCTTGTGAGGAGACCTGATTTCAAATCAGCTACCCGATGACATGATAGTAGGAAGAGAAGGTCAACACATGTATGCACAGAATGAATGAAGGTGCACTAGTAGTGTGCTGCACTTTGTTTAGAAGAAATGCAAAAAGTGCCTCATGTGGCTTATGAGACCGTTCAGAGCTGTGCATGTATTTATTTGTTCTTCGAGACTGTAATGAGATGAAGATATAATTAGATGGTCTTGAACATCAAATCTTTGATTGTGTTTCCAAGGACTGCTTCATTTCTGTTCAGTTTTTTAGTATACACTATAACTTGGACTATGTGTACATGCACCTAAGCATATTCAAAATATCAAGATATTCAGTTTATCTAGGTTATAAAAGCTCTGTAAGGTGTTCTGGTGCAATCCTACGACCGGTATCTGCCACATCAAAAATTTTGGGCAGGCTTTATTGCATAATAGAGTATTTTTACTATTGAGGTTGTGAAAGCCTTCTACGCAGTGCTTGGCTGCAATCTTAAAACCAATATCTGTCTCATCAAGAAGTGCCAGATGCATTTTGTAGATGTTAAAGGATATTTACACTACCAGCAAAGTGCAGAAGCCTTCAACGCAGCACTGATCTGCAATCCCAATCCAGCTTAGGAGCAATTCGTAGTGCTCTTTAACACGTTCACTTAAAGGTATAAACACTGGAATGATCTACTTGCTTTGGTTCGTAACACCAGTGTGTCTGGCTTTAAAACAAACGTTGACACACTGGTTGAAAACAGAAGGTTTAAAACAAAAATCAGACACACTGGTTCGTAATACCAGTGTGTCTGACTTTTTGCAGCCACTTCATTAATTTCTCTCATTTTTTTAGTTTATTTATTTATTTATTTATTAGAATACCCTCAGGGCCCGTAGGGCATTACAGAGGGGGTGGGTACAACATATATAACACACAAGAAAAAAA